GGTACAGGAGACCACTGTTTACAACGGAAACTGCAAAAATGATTCTTCCAGGTTTTGTAATTATGCTTTGAACCATCACTATTTTGAAGAACGTTTAGGAACTTTGAAACACATACAATACAATAGGTCGGTATTCGAAACGTGTCCTCCTCGAAGCAGGTATTATCCCGTTATACCAACGGTAGTCTGAAATTTTATCAACTGTTAAACATGTGTTGAACACTTCCGTTACTGCAATGTGGAATGAGTGAGTGACTGAGTGAGTGAGAGAAGGAACGAGAGAAGGAACGAGGGAATGGGCCTATTCTTTTAGTAAACACAAATGACCAAAATCGATGTCGTCCAGATTTGTGTACTATGATGACAAGTACTTGCTTTTGGATGTCCCCAGTGGTTCAAAGTACATTTCCGTAAATCTGAGCAACACAAGACTAAGGTAAATGCTGAATTGCGGGAGGGATGAACTGAATTCGGCTGTAAATTACTCGTCAACTGCATTATGTAACTTTTCTGTCGAATTCTTATCATCATACGCATGAGTCGACGATCCCTGAAAACGTAAACCGTATTTTTGAAATGTCATCTGTGAGCGAATGCGGTATTATAGACGTATGTCACGCGCGTCGAATGGATTTTGTTAAGTAGTCTAACAGTACGCCAAGAAAACTCCGAGGAAGCCTTTATAACGAGCCGTTGAGGTCACCAACATATCAACCCGGGCTGATGTGTGTTCCAATCGGACGAAGGCCACTCAACTTTCCTGTTCTACATTTGTCCCTTAGCAGAGCTCCAGTGGCTGCAGTCCACTTCATTCATGAAAGTTTTTGGATATCAAATGAAAAAGAGTATAAAGATGGATATATTAACAATACTGATCTGAAAAACAGAAATATCATATCATATCTCAAACAATCCTAGTCCAGTCACGAGGTTGTTTGTGGGGTACACTTAAAGTGGTCAATGAAACTGAAAAAGAGAATCGTAAATCCTATGAATTGTACTCCGTGCGATTTTGCGCACTATTTGATCGATCAATCCGAAATATGCATTCTCCTATACTCATATTCGATCCCTTTCGAAATATCTTCGCTTCCGACCTAGTTAGTTTTTGACAGCGATTGTGTTCACTGGTCACAATCTACCCACAAGTTACTCTATGTAGCAGGAAAATCCATGACACGTACAAGTACTGTACGACTAATTGTTTTTCTATTACAGTACCCAGACGGTTGTGGTCAAGTGGTTAGGTTATCAACTTGTGGCCCGGGTGTCCCAACCGCTCCACCGCCGCCCATCTTCCCTATTTCTGTCTCTCCCCCGGCAGCCTTTTAACGGCCGCGCCCTCATTCCTGAATGTTAGCTGTACATTTGTATATTCAATAAATAAGAAAGCAAGTAAAAATACATTTATTTGTGTAATGGGTTATTAATTGTTTCCTGGTCGGTTAATGAAAATTATGACCGTTTTTTCATAAGATTGGGTACACTAGATGTGTGAATCATGAAATTAAACTGAATACATCGGTTTGAACTCAAACAACATTTGAATGGCCACAAATGATCACATTGGTAATTGAATACTCTATGGTTTTGTCCTTTGAATCTATGACATTTTTCAATCAGAGGTAAACTATATTTAATTCATATTTGCTCCAATACGTAACTAAACAGGTTCATTTCCATGAATCCAGATAAAAGTAATTGTTCCATAAAAAGGGAAACACAACGCAAAAGGAAGATTACTTTTCATTAGAGTTGTCAACCAACAAGTCAACGATAAAACTTCGCACTCGAAAGCCTCAGAGTCCAATAATTATTCAAACCAAATAGATAGCGGGCTTAACTGGATGAGAAACCTCTGGAAGAAAGTAGATCAGTATAGCAAAACGATTCCGCTGAATCGCCTGCTATCAATTACCCCTGTTTCCCCGTTTTGATAAAACAAATCTGACCATTCACTGACGCCCCGAGTATGTCACACTGCCGAGTACGTACTCATTTGGTCCCTATAAAGGGTAATGTTTGGACATGGACCAATAAACAGATTGGCGGTGGTGGCACAGTGGTTCAGTTGCTGTCACCACGTGCTTTGGACCCTATGTTCTNCACCACCACCCAACTTTGGTGGTAGGTTGTCGTCCCGTGCAATACCCGTCCTGACCTAGTTGGGCCTAATGTGGTTCGCCATTCCAAGTCTCGGAGCTTAGGTGACCGGTTTCCATCACTGCACAGCAGATCCTTCCCTGTAAGGAGGGCAACCAATTAAAAGCAATCTAAGACGGTGACATCTGAAGGGATAGTTTGCAAGCACCAATCTATGTTCGAGGAGCGGAACGTTTTGGGAATGCTGACTCATAACAATGTTGTAAACTCATTTTTTAATGCAAGTAAAATTTTTTCATACAGTCGAACGGCTATATACGAGTTCTCGAACGTTGGTACATCTCAGAAAACATGCCACTCGGAAAAACAATAACAAATTTTGGAGTCAGTTAATGAGAAAAACCTACCCTGTAACCCACGGACGACGGGAACGACCGGACAACCGCGAATCCAACGGACACACGCCAGGACGTATACGCCCAGTGACAACACGGAGTGACCTAATGACTGAAAGAAAACCACGCGAATACCACCAACAGTACACGTCCCAGACCAGTTGGCCGTAACCGGCCCAATCCCAGGAGATTCGGAAAGCACCTCATGGAAGTAGTACCATCCCAAAACCCAAACAAGAAGAACATGAAGGGCATTTCTTTGAGGCGAGTTTGTAAATTTGCTTTAACCTGAAGGCGATTGTAGTCGACACCTCATCTGTCTTGGTATACGTTTTCAGGGGATCCTTTGGACGGAGCTCGAAAGTTACAATTTTTGTGTAAAAAGCATCCGGACCAGTCAAGGACGGGTATGTTCAGTAATGCAAAACGAAGCTTTTCTGGCTCAAAGATTTGGAAAAGGACATTTTACAAAAATTAATAGAAAACTGGGAGAACTAGTCGGATCTGAAGAGAAATATAGATTGTTCCCTACCACGATAACACACCGTAGGAACACTCGAATGTGTCTATCGAGCTATTATGGTCAATTTTGTTGGAGTGGTCACCGTATCCAAGGCCACCAAACTTGTTTTCTTCTATTGTCATGACTGTATTCGACATATATCGTTGTTGAACGGGTACCGTAAACAAGAACTCAGACGAATTATCATAATCAATTGACCGAAATCGTGTAAGAGTTGGAACCAAACCAGGATCCGGTTCCTCTCGGTCTTCAGACCATAAGCATCTTCGTGTGCGTGTGTATGTGTACATAATCTCCGTCCGAATGCGAGTGAAAGTGTCTCCAAAAAGCACAGAATCCGGAATCACATACTAATTGGTAACCAGAACAGACAGCACAGGACGTAAACAAGCATCACGATCAAGAAAAATACCACATTGTTGTGTGTGTGT